TTTTTGGATATAGAGTTGAACTTTCCCTTTGAAGTGAATCTTTGACCAGAAGTCTTTGCTTTTCCATTTGGTAACTGTTCTTAAAAGTCCAGGATACTCTATTCAAAGCTGCTTTAAACTATCTTGGTAATGAGAGTTTTCATAAGAGGAAAACATGTTTTTTTCTGCTATTGTATAGCCTCTAAGTTTTGCCCTTTGTTATGAATATCAACAAAGTTCTCAAAGTTCTTCCTCTCGTTTTACAAGTTGTTTGATTCTATTTGATAACAGATTGCTCCAACAGTTGTCCATTTGGAACAACCACTCAGTCTTCAGACTGCAGTTGTGTATGTCGGGACCAAAGTCTGACCTACAATTCCAATTCAAGAACTTGCAGTGAGTTGTTAATCTTCTTTTGTGTTTAGATGGCTAGATACCATTGTGCAATTATGAACATGATATGTTGGAACTGTGTGACAGAACATGTCATTGAATGTCTTGTTCATTGGGTTACTTTATTATTCATGAGAGTATTTTTTACTACACAATTCTTTGTACATGAAATACACAGCACTTCCAGTTTGAAAGAAAAGGATTTTCTTTATCCTTCCATGACAAACAAATGTTGCTTGAAGTGTCGATAATGTGTTGTCCTTCTCCTTCATGAACTGCTTGTATACCCATTATAGCAAACACTACTGGTTCCGGAATCTCTGATACCACTAGAGTAGTCTTGTCCAATAGATGTAACTATAATATTTCTCGTTCACTGTTACCAGCATAGACTGAAATCACAGTGTTTTCATTGTGTATTCAGTAGAGCAGTTTGAATGCGAAAAATACCTGTTGTTCTGGTTTTTCGTTAACAATTTTTTAAAATCTAAATTGGGAATTGGGAATTGTATTTGTTGTGCTAGTATTGGCAACATTATTTCCGTCAAGGGTCTACATTTTCTGGCTTTTTTCTCTTTCAGTTCGCAGCTGTACCAACCAGTGTCCAGTTGGATCCACAAGAGCTGCCAACAGCTGTGACTGTATTTGTGGTACTGGCTTGACATACAACAGGGCAAGAAACACTTGTGGTATGTAGACATGTCCTGGTCCTTGGCTGTTATGCACCTTGTTCTCATAGCACAATGTGTTGTCCTTGTAAGGTTGTCTTGAACTTCAATGTGTATTCAAATGGGACTGTGGATAAGTCACCTCCCTAGATGCACATCAGTGTTCATAAACTTAAAAGACAAAAATAAGTGGTGGTAGAAATAGCCAATGCCTTGTGTAGTTGTTTCCATTTTTGGATATTGAGTTGAACATTCCCTTTGAAGAGAATCTTTGACCAGAAGTCTTTGTTTTTCCATTTGGTAACTGTTCTTAAAAGTCCAGGATACTCTATTCAAAGCTGCTTTAAACTATCTTGGTAATGAGAATTTTCATAAGAAGAAAACATGTTTTTTCTGCTATTGTATAGCCTCTAATTTTTGCCCTTTGTTATGAATATCAACAAAATTCTCAAAGTTCTTCCTCTCGCTTTACAAGTTGTTTGATTCTATTTGATAACAGATTGCTCCAACAGTTGTCCATTTGGAACAACCACTCAGTCTTCAGACTGCAGTTGTGTATGTCGGGACCAAAGTCTGACCTACAATTCCAATTCAAGAACTTGCAGTGAGTTGTTTGTTTCCTTTAGAGTGTAGATGGATAGATACTGTTTCGCAATTATGAGCACATTTTGACTTAGGGTGTGTTGAAAGTTATTTTATTCATCATGCCAGTATAACATGATCCCCCATCAATCAGTTTAAAGGATCACTTCTAGTTTGAAAAAAAAAGTTTTCTTTATCCTTTCATGAGAAATAAATATTGCATAAAAATTGATAAATATGTTGTCCTTCTCCTGCAGTTGCTTGTATACCCATAATCAAACTTCATATGGTTCTAAATTCTCTGATAACCAGTAAGGTTGTGTTGTTCGATAAACTTAACTATGTTTCTTATTTGTGCACAAATACCTGTACGTTGTCCTTTTTTGTTCTTTCTTAAGTTGTTTTTTTGGTCATGAAATTTAACATTGGGATATGCAATTTTGGTTGTGTTAGTATTGGCAATACCGTATTTCTATCAAGGGTCTACAATTTCCGGCTTTTCTCCTTTTCAGTTCGGAACTGCAACAACCAGTGTCCAGCTGGATCTACAAGAGCTGCCAACAGCTGTGACTGTATTTGTGGCAATGGATTTAGATACAACACGGCAAGAAACACTTGTGGTATGTAGACATGTCTGGGTCGAAAATTTACTTTTTACACATACATTAAAACAACATTTAAAAATTGAATGAAAGAAAAAAAATTAGATTCCAAAGTGAATAAAAAAAAATTCTGATCACAGTACATATTACTGTAACTATAATTTAGTTTGATAGAAATAAAATCAGTCCTGTTCTGAAAAACAGGAACGTCCCAGACACAACAAAAATAAGGATTTGGAAAGTTCTTTTGCTTTCAATTCGTCTATATGGCGCTGAGAAAGCTTGGTAATTTACAATGCGGTTTCTTAACAGGTTGCTGACAATTTAATGGGAGGAAAAGAAATCAGTTAGGGCAGGGCTGAAAGATATGATCAGATTAGATAAACCTTTACAACCCAAGAAAGAAGTATTGGACGGTCCTTGATTTAAAAAAAATACAAATTTTCTGTAAAGAGACAATTAATGTAGTTTCTAGTACACTTCAATTGACATCTTGCTCTAATTGAAGAAACTGAAGGCAAAAGAGAAAGTGGTCGACGGAGAACTGATAACCCAATAACAGCTAAATTGGGATTTTTTTTCCATTCAATGCATACATTGCTTTATTTTGCCCTATTTCAGATCGCAGCTGTACCAACCAGTGTCCAGTTGGATCCACAAGAGCTGCCAACAGCTGTGACTGTATTTGTGGCAATGGATTTACATACAACAGGGCAAGAAACACTTGTGGTATGTAGACTTGTCCTGGTCGAAGATTTCTTTTCTAAAACATACATTGAAACAATACTTAAAAGGCAAAAGAAAAAATATGATTCTACAGTGATTGGAAAAAATATTGATAGCATTACTGTAACTATATTAAATTGGGTTTGGCAGAAATAAAATCAGTCCTGTCCTGAAAAATATGAATGTCTCAGATACAACAAAAATAATTTGTAAAGTTTTTTTGCGGTCAATCCATCTATATGGCTGAGAATGTTTAACAGTTTGCAATGCGGTTTCTTAACAGGTTGTTGACAATATCATGGAAGGAAAAGAAATCAAACGGGGCAGGGCTGAGAGATAAGATCAGATTAGATCAATTTTTATTGCCTAAAAAGAAGTTATATAGGACAATCCTTGATAAGAAATAAAAATGTAAAGAGACAAATCCAGTTTCTACTGCGCTTTAATTGACACCTTGCTCTCATTAAAGAAACTGAAGGTAAAAGATGAAGTGGTCGACGGAGAACTGATCACTTTATAACAACTAAATTGGGATTTTTTTCCCAGTCATTGCATACATTGCTTGTTTCACTCTATTTCAGCTCGCAGCTGTACCAACCAGTGTCCAGCTGGATCCACAAGAGCTGCCAACAGCTGTGACTGTATTTGTGGTACTGGCTTGACATACAACAGGGCAAGAAACACATGTGGTAAGTAGACATGTCCTGGTCCTTGGCTGTTATGGACTTTATTCTCT